TGATCTCCTGCTCAGGGCTGCCTCAAACTGATGGATTCTTCCAACAGCAGAGGGATGAGTCCCCTGGGTTTTAGTGTCCCATGGGTTTGCAGCAGCTGCAGTGGGAGAGTAATGTGGGACCCTTCACAACCTGAAACAGCACAACTGGGCATGTTGGTTGGCTACAGGCCTCTCCGTGCACATCCTGTCCTTTGTCAGAACCTGAATATTACAGTATGGTCGCCTATTCTTCCAAAAACCCCTCCCTTCCCTCCGTGAGCTGCCTGCTTCTGCACCCACCAGAGGTTTGTAGAGGCTGAGGCTGCAGGGTTGGTGGGGGTTGGCGGGACAGTGGGATTGGGGAGAGCCAGATCAGCACACATCTTCATCACAGGAGGCTTGGTGCAATAGGGAGCACAAATCATCATTGGGAATGATTTCCTTATTCCCTCACAGGAATCCCTCTTTTCCTTATTCCCTCCCAGCAAAAGAATATGCACCAAGCAATGGATACTGGCCAAGCATGAACTCTTAGAATAAAGGATTTATTATGGTTATGGCTTACTGGGAGGGCTCACCATGCTGCTTTTATCTTTGCCTCTTCCTAGTTACTAAGGGGTTACTGGCTTTGCTTTCAGACTGTAGGCATGCTGAATGAGGAAAAAACAGAAATACGAAGTGGGAAGATGAGGTAGGTGTTAGCAAGTGCCCTTAGCTCTGCTCTGAGCCTCCAGCCTGGACCTGAAGTTGGGAGAGCAAAACAGGAATAAGTAAACAGCTGGCTCATTAAGAGACAATGATGCAGGAATTTGCAACTGACATCTTGAGCTTTTCCTGTTACCTTTTCCATCTTTGTGTTTTCTTGTTCTTTTGCAAATGGAAAGGGGACTGAGGGGAGCCAGCATTTACCCATGGCAAGGAGGAAAGTGTCACCCAGCCCTCGCGGAGGCATGTCTGGCAGCTTCTCTGCAGCCCCAGGAAGGACTGCGGTGCGGATGTGCCCTAGGACCTGACACTCAAAGTTAGAACATCCAGTGCCTTACCACTGCCAAACTGTGTGCCTTGGAGGGAGACATGATCGTGAGAGAAAAAACAAGAGCACCTCTCCAGGTACCATACAGCTCCATGAAGGTACCAGCATTGGGCTCGTTCTCTGGTCTCCCCCACTAAAGCCCATTTCTCCCCATTGCTAACAAACTCTCCACTGATCTTCCCATGGGAAAGGCATTGTGAACATCCCACATCTCCTTTCTCCTTCACTCTTTTTTTTTTACCTTCCTGCCCTTCAGAGACACAGCATTTATTTGGCCTGAGCTCGTGGGAAGAGCTTGGATAGGTTTACATGCTCCATGCCTGAACCCATCGGCGATTACAAACGTGGCTGGCTGCCTGGCTTTGTTAATTAGCTACCAGCAATGCCTAATCTTTCCCTCTGTGGTTTCCTCCTGAATTAGTAGGGCATTGCTCATTAGTTCTTTTCCAATTTGGGATGCCACAGTTGAACATTACAGCATCCAGAAGTACCAGTTAGTTGAGAGGATAAACTTGATTTGTTTGAAAAAAAAAAAAAAGTTATATTTAGGTAATTAAGCAAAATAACACCAAAGCTATTTTGTACTAGTGCAATCTGCCAGTCCTGTACCAGTGCTAAAGCTTCTTGTTTCCTGATTTGCTGGCAACAAAGATTAGAGCAAGCAACCACAACAGCTTCTTGGTTTCGCTGTGAACTATTACATTTCTGTCTCTGTGAATTCGGTTGAGTAAAGTTGGCATCAGCTGACAGGACATCCCGCTGGACAATGAAGAGGTGCAGCAAGTCAGCAGGTGGCACTGGAAAGTGTCCTTGGCACCTTGTACCTCCAATTGGCAGCTCAGCATCACAGCCTCGCTATACGATTTAGCCTCTTAGGGTTAGAAGGTCTTTCATGTCTTATTCAGCCTGGAGACACAGGTGTCTGTGCAGATTTAAATCTCTGCTGAAGTTATTGCTTGAGATGAAGACGACAGTGGATTGCCAGGTAGAGTCATAGCCAGGATTTCTAATTTGAGTAAAAATCTCCTTTTTTCTTAGGAAATCTACGAAATGGAAGGATTTCCTTTCCAGGTGTGGGCACATCAGCTGATCTTGCAGTCCACAAAGTGCTGTCACAGAAGACAGCTAGGGATGGCTCCCACTTGTGCCCCAGCCGTCTCAGTCTGGGACAGTCACTCCTGTCCCTGCAGCCCATGGAGTGGCACAGGCACATGGAAATGCTGCTGCTGATTCGAGGGAGGTGTCTGAGCATGGGCCTGGCAGGTATGTGGCTCTCTTCTCGGCTTGAAGGGAAACAGCTATCTGAATTCAAGTGGGATGACTCCCTCCTGATGGCTCCCACTTGTGCCCCAGCCGTCTCAGTCTGGGACAGTCACTCCTGTCCCTGCAGCCCATGGAGTGGCACAGGCACATGGAAATGCTGCTGCTGATTCGAGGGAGGTGTCTGAGCATGGGCCTGGCAGGTATGTGGCTCTCTTCTCGGCTTGAAGGGAAACAGCTATCTGAATTCGAGTGGGATGACTCCCTCCTCTTGCTTGCCTCCTTCCTGATGGAGAATGACCTGCAGAACAATCTGCTAAGGCAGATTCAGTAAGTTTTAATGCTTTGTTCCCACTTCATAACCCACAGATGTCCTTTGGGAAAAGGGACAACGGACAAAATGGCAAAAATCCCTTTGGTCAAGCTGTTGTGCTTGGCTGATGCCCTCAGGAAGCCCATGTGTGAGGTCAGCAGGCAGAAAGGGAGGAAAGGTGCATTTTAACCGAAGTCTAGAGGGTAACAGGGGGTCTTCTCATGATCTGCTACTTTGGGGTTGAAACCACTTTGTGCTACTTCATGTTTTCCTCAAAAAGAGTCACCGCTTACCATGGTGGCACCATCTACCAAGGTCACAGGCAGACTAAATGATGATGTTTTCATTTTTCTGTTCTACACCCCGCAGTCTGGACTCAGTTCAACCAGGAATGGCACTTCCAGCAACTCAATGTATATTTAAGTACTTAACACTAAATAACAGCAGGAGCAACCAGGGTGGTAAAATAATGTTTTATTCCATGAATGAACAAACACTACCATGCCACATCCTAAAGTTGTTTCTACAAAAGATTGTGGACAGAGCAGATTTTTACATTTCTTGGGTCAAGTTCATTTCAGGCTTTTGAGCCAGTTCGGTGTAGCAAAGTCTGGACACGCAGCATTCTTACTGTCTATTTGGCATTTTGCCAGATAAAGCAGATTTATACCGTAGTTCTTGTTCACACAATGTTGATGCACTGTAAATTAAAGAAGATAATCAAAACCAAACTAGGTCATTTCTGTGGTTTATCAATATATTTTTTCAAGATGGTCAAAGTACAACCAACATTCAAAGCTCAAAATAATGGTAATAAAAAAAAGACACACTAAAGAACACAATGGAAACATCGTCATTGCTGTCAGGATGTGAGTTTACCCACAGTACTATGTAAAAAGTAGAAACTGGCATTGACATTCAAGCTGTCAAAACAAGAAAAGAAATTACATTAATTGTTATATTTCCAAGCTAGTACTTCTAAAGAGTCCTGACCTGCAAAGAAGTGTTATCGCATGCATGCTGAACACAAGACTAATTGGATCGGGGACCTGACGAATAACTGACATTCCTTTATATACAACAAAATGAAATATACAGTATCAATACTGGCTGTACATTTGGTCAGAATATTTTACAAGGAGCGACACTAGTCAAAATCCTTATGACCTGATAAGTGGAAGGGATTGAATGTTGGATTTCTTTCTGAGAGTTGAATGCTTTCACAAGAAGTTTTAAAAGTTGCTTTGCACCGCTATAATGACGTGTTAGATATTTAAAAGCAAAAATGCTCCTTTTTCTTTTTTTAATTTTATGCTAGTGTGAGCAGAAGAGATAATTAAACGTGTTTGGAATGTCCTAATCATTGACCTGGAATAAAACTAAGCCACAGACAGCATGTGCACTAAATCTCTGCACACTGGTTCTGTTTAGATGGCTTTACGAAATGATCTGCAAAGTATCTGGTACAAATTCCTCATCTAGCCTTTTCCCAACTGGCTGCCAACCAATTGTTCCAATACTAGAAGAAGAAGAAAAAAATACGATTGTGACTGTCGCATATTTTCTATAGTACAATAAAAATATCTCAATGTTTAGCTGATTTAGCTTATTTATGTGCATATTTTTCAAGGCTGCCAAAGAAAATACTCAATCTTGCAGACAAAGGCTATGCCGGGAACATGAGAGTGAGACTTTCTTTGCTTTAGTCTAATAGATTTCTTTTAATGTCTGGGTACCTTGACCCCTACTACCTCTGTAGACCCCTAAGGTCTAAAGTGAGCTGGTTAACTCAGTGTACGGTTTTTCCCCATCCAGAACAAGCTGACAAGCTAATAAGGTAAGCATGAGACCCAGTGAAAACAGAAGCTATGCAAAATTAAGAAACAATTGCAGGAAGGTAAAGATCGGTATAAGTACGGCGATATTTTGTACAATTGAACTTGTGTGTCCTGTAGCAATGAGAAACCTGAACATGAGAAAGAGCAGGCAAGTATGTATGACTCAGTATCCTTTAAAATAATTGTGCTATAATCTTTTCCATGTATTAGGTTAGATTTTTTTCTGACACAGTGTGATGCTAACTACAGTAACTTTAATGGATGATGGATTTCCCTGCTACTGCTTGATTGCTTGAATGCAAAGAGACATTAAATCTTCCAGTCCTCAAAGTGGTTTCTTGGGGTGATCCTTCAAGTTCAGCATCTTGCCACTTTCACACTAGAAGTCACTTTGTGGCAAACAAAAAAAAGGCAAAAAAAAAAAAAGGCGGGGAGGGGAGTGAAAACGAAAAATAAGATGTTGGTTGTGACTGATTAATTTCAGACAGCAGTTTCTGCTGAGTTCACCATGCTTAATGTTCTTCCATTTAGGAAGGAGTTGCTGTCAAGTAAAGCAGATGAGCTGCTTTCAGTTTTCTTTAAATACATGCTAACAACGTAACATCTCTTTCTTCAGGAAAATGATCCAGTTGCATATTGTTAGAGATCTGCCTTGTGCTTAGCACGGACAAGTAGGGTTAATCATCATCCTCCTCCTCTTTCAGTGGGGCTATTGGGAGTTTGTCCTGAACTTGGAAACACGCTACAAAGAAGTTGACGATGGAGTTGTACAAATGCTGCTCCAGTGCTGCGTTGCTGAAGTAATGGCTTTCGTCAGGGTAAATCTGCAAAGAAACAAAGAATTACACATGCTTAGAAGCTTAAAATCTCAGGACTGACCATCCGTATCTGCAACTCAAGCTGGCCTGGGAACTTATTGCTCCTCCTTGGCACTGCACATGAGGTCCAGGGTAATTCAGGCACCACAGCACTCTGAGCGCAGACTTGCATCTTCCTTCACAAGGAACTTTTTGGGGAAGGATTTTCCATTTAATTCCATTCTGAACAAGTTCAGGCTAAGCAGAACCAGACCACACTTAAAAATAACAGTGCTTGCTCCTTGTGAAAACTGAAAAAAGCCCCACTGCAAGTCTGTGGAGAGAAATGGCATTTGATTTTACTGACTAAAATAAGGGCTTTAAAGCAAAAATGTCATTAAGTAAAAAAAATTAAATAAAGCTTGCTGCAGAAGTAATTAAATAGAAAATATGTGGGAAGCTAGAAATAGTTTGAACACAACTTTCCATTTACATGGAACAGGTAAATTCTGCACATATTGGAGGAATACAGGGTACTGAAGCTGGGGAGAATGAGTTTCGAGGGCTGGATGCTTGAGTGCACTGCTGCTCTGAGTACCTCAACTCCTCAGGCCTCCATGCAGTCCTCAATTAACATCTGACATGCAGCAAGCCCTTTGGTGCCTCCAAACTCCGATGTACTAATGCTCCTGCACTGGGGGTTGTACAGGGGCACCTCAATCACTGCAGCACTAACCAAATCCGTGACCGGGTCATTGCTTAGCTCCTGTGTCTGTGCTCCATCCTTTCTGCGTCTGGAGCATGATGGAGTGAGCACACCCATCACATGAAGCTCTGCAGAAATGCAGCCAGAGGGAGCTGGTATTCAGTAAATCAAACCTTAGCAGGACTTGGGTACTGCAATACAACCATCTATGCTGTCAGCAGTAGCATGGTCCAAGCTGGGCTAGTTGCATTCTCCTGGCTGTGGGCTGGGGTGTAGCAGAGGGTAAGGACCATCCCCATGGCTGGTGGATGGGTTCGTATGGGAATCTTTAATGGCTTGGGCATGGGCCATTCAGCGAATAAGGGATGTAATTCAGTGGAAAGGGGCTTTCTAGAGCAGAGTATGTCCTTCACAGTGGGACATTTATCTCCTTAACTTTCCTGGTTGATTTAATTTAGATCCCTGTTTCCCTGTAATTCATCCTGAATTTGGCCTGTTGTTCCCAAAGACAGCCAACAGGCATGAATTCCTTAGAGATATGTCTCTCAGAACATGAGTTACTGTAATTTAATAACGGTTTAACAACTATCCAAACCAAAATAGTGGTATCAAATAAGCACTTGAGTGCAGAGAAACAGATTCTATGCTGGTGCTACTTCTACTGCCAGGCTGTGTTTGCAAATGGCTTTTCAAAGCTTGCTTCTTAACAGCAGTTTGCGTTCAAACTGGGAAATAACTGTTCAAATATGAAAAAAAGGAAACACATACTGTACCTGCAAGCTGTAATTAGCCTTTGCCCTAATTAGGTGTGTGATAAGGTCCGCAGTATGCTGAAAATGGATTTTTTCTGTAAAAACAGATTACAATCATTAAAGAGGCAAATGTAATTAAGAAAAATCAAAGCCATCCCAAACATATAATGAGCTCAAATGATAGGCTAACTTACCATCAGCAGTAGCATGGATGATCAAAAATGTCTGTTCCTTCAGTAATGAGACTCTGTGTGCTAATTTGGTGATCTGTGAAGGTAAAGGTTGCAACAAGATTAAAAATCTTGCTAGAAATTAGCAATTTATATGGAGAAAATAGAAACACTTAATTCCATTTGATACTTCATCACAGGGTAACAAGCCGACACCAGCACCGCATATACTTGAGTCAGTCTGGAAGTAAAATAGACCCCCATCCTGTCCTTCCAGGCTCAATTGCAGCAGTAGGAGATAGGGCAGAGACCCTCATCTCTTCTGATAACGTTCACCAAAAGCCTGAACTGCAGAACACATGGAATATGTCAAAGTGAATTTCCAGTGAATACAAAACACCGATGAAAAGCGTGCCCAGGTGCCTATGCCTAAGAACTCTTCAGAGAGCTGGAGTGACTTTGGTATGGTTTGATAGCCAACCTCAATGAGCTCTGACAAGCCAGGGAAGAACCTGATACTAAATTCAAGTTTCCATGGCTGGGAATGACTTTGTCCCAACTGTCTTTCAAATGCACAAGGGAAATACAAATCTGAGTGACTGCAAATGTCGTGGGTAAGAGAAATGAAGGACTTCACTTTTTGCTGCATTCCTTAGAAGAATACAATTCACAGGGAGACTCCAAAAAACGTCTTGGAGTGGCAAAAGGAATTTATGTCTCAAATCACAGATGTTACTGCTTTATAGGGGGGCAGGGAAGAATAACTGTCTCATCTTAAATTCATGATTCCTTCACTGTTCAAATGCATGTGCCCTAGCTCTCATGCACTTACAGGAGTTATTGTGTTTTTCAGTTAGGACACCCTTGTGTCAGTCCTGTCATAGAATGGTTTACGTTGGAAGGGCCTTAAAGATCATCTATCTTTTACCTGTTTTCATCTTCCCACTGTACTATGTGGCTTCTACAGAAGACAGACAAGTGTACCTCCAGCAGTAACAGGACTTGTCATGCCTGCCTGTGGAAGTCAAATTAGCTGGCTAAAAACATTGGCATGTATTATTAAGATACGGACACTGTAAATTTACATCACAGATTACGTGTATCTCTCCTCACTGAAAAAATAAAGCAACTGAATATTAGAAGTGTCCCTGCATATTTCCTTAGTGCAAGGTTTTGGAAATTTTGGTGGATGCAGGCCTGTTCTGGCTTTCCTGCAGCCCCACACTCTGTATGAACTTAAGAAGTGTTTGCAAATTTTGCCAGGGTGCCCTCTGATCTTCCCTCCATTGTTGGACTTAACGAATGAGTTCTCTCATCCTCAGATTGCTGGCTGCGATGCTTGTCTTGTGATGGTGTACGCAGATATCTTGCACTCTGTTCTCCCCCTTTATGTCTTCTTCCTTTCTGCTCCCTCAATTGTAACCTACCACATGAAAATACAGCTTTTTTGGAGCCTACATCAAGTCTTGAATTATGTGACCTTCAAAAAGTTAATGTCTGGTTGTGGGGAACAGTTCTGCTCCCGACGCAATTCATTGTTCAGCTGTGGCGTGTAGGGGATGTGTATCACTTAAGGTGTGTACCCAGAACAGTGCCATGCTCTACAGAGAGCTCAGGTGCTGTTCCTAGCAGTTAATCCCAAGTCGACCAAAAGCACCACTATTTGCTCAGGCCAGGTTTTCAGTGCATGAAGAGCGTGTGACAACACAAAGCTCTCATTTCTCGAATATTTTCCCTCGCTTTCACCTCTACTGACCTGCCTTCAAATTTCTAAAAGGACTATAAGAGTTTGCAATGATCTAGAGATCATGAGTGCAAAATGTGAGAGACGACGAACTCATTATGTAGACAGCCAGGAAAAGCTTCCACTGCAAGGGCACAGGGTGCTACCTGCCTTCTCTGCAAGAAAAGAGTTTCAAACCTTTGCTGCCTTAATGTCTGCTAGCTGAGGACAGGATTTAGTATGCTTAACAATCCTTTCTATGCAAAAAATATAATTTGTGTGACTTCTTTATTAGACTTCTTCCTCCAGTAACTGAAGGAAGGAAGACAGGATGCAACTGACCCATCATATATATTAAACAACATCTTAATTAACTGGTGCCATGTCTCCTTTTCCACATCCTGCTCGACTCTGGCACAGAGTTCTGCCTACCTAAAATATCATATCTGTGCTTACGCTGAAAAAGCAAAGAGAAGCTGAGCTTTACTTGACTTTGGGTCAAAAATTATACCTCAGAGCAAATTGAAGTGGCAAGACCATTGGGAAGAACTGTAAAGGAGGTTGTGACATTATGTCCACTTGGGCACATCTGAGTCAGTCAGCCTCAGCTCTTTCAATCTGTAAAACTGGAATAACTGTATTTACCCAATTTAGAGAGGCAGACATGAAGGCTAATCAATAAAACCCATATCCATCATTACCATTAAGACAACAAAAGCAGTAAGCAGGCTGAAGGACACCTTGCTGCCTTTTAAATATGGAGTTTTACTACTGAGTCCATCCTGCATATCCTTTTTCCCATCCCCAAAGAGAATACATTGAGGAGGAGTTAAAGCCCTGTTCACATTTTATCAGGGAAACGCAGTGCCCATGCAGTTACCTCGTACGCTCTGTTATCAATCCCATGCAAGCCCAAGTATCTTTCAGAAAAGGCTGAAGCTTGAAAAGAAAAAAAGAAAACATTTCTTTCAGACATAAGTGAGTACACTGGTGCTTCTGAGTCAAACATTGTAAATGCTAAAAGAGTATCTTCTTTTTCTAACATTGTCTTAGATACACAGGACATAATTCTAGAAGTTTTTGAAAATGCACCAAGAATAGGTATGATAGTACAGTCTTTCATTATCACCACGTACTTACAGTTTCTAAACAAGTCACAGAACAGCCTTTTTTTTCCCCTGAGTAATGCGACCAAGCTATGAAAGGAGGATAGCGCCATCGTGTTGTGTCCCTTTCTCCTTTCACGTGGCGCCATCTCCATCAGCAGTCTCCTGCAAGCTCCTGTTTGTCTCAGGGATGACTGTACGAGACCTGAAGGCTGGCTTAACACCACTGACTTTCATGGCAGTCCCCTGATTTTCACCGGCACTAAGGGCCAAGGGAGCTGGTGTCCCTGAGAGAAAGGACCACCACGTGCGATGGACTAGTTGCCATCAGAGAGAGAAGGTGGTGTGCAGGCTGGACCACAGCTCCCACGGATGGATGGTTCAGGCAAGAAGCACTGTCAAGGCAGCAGTGCAGGTTGGTGTCAGAGGCTGGAGAGGTTTATACCCAGTTCTTCTTTATTTAAAAGGAGTGAGTAATAAAAGTTATTTTATTACTCTGACCACCATGGTTGGTCCCACTGATGTCAGCAAAATTGGTCTTGAGGGGGCAAAAAGGGTTTAGCGCTAGTTCTAAGACGACACACAACACAAAACAGGCACGATCTTGGGGAAAAAAGAGGAGATAACTGGAAAAGGTTAGGGCAGAGACATCATTTGTTGTCAGTGAGAGGGTCTGTGGGATCTGGGATGGGGTTTACCATATAGTTTGAAGTCTGTCAGCGGGGAAAGAGCAGCTCCACAGGCAAACACCTGGTTTTCTTCACCAGCTGGAAGCATGTAAGTGCTCAGGTAGCCGCCGTAATCCTGGAACACAAACGGGGCAGGGGTGTCAGTAGTCTTGCCATGAGGTGCTGCTGCTTTTGGGTACAGAAACAGGGTAGCTGAGACCCTGCAGCAAACTCTCAGCCATTAGAAAGCCCTTAACACCTTGCCCTGAAAAACCACAAAACAAGGGACATCTCCCTGGCTTCAGCAGATGCGGCTGAAGATGAGCTTTACACTTGTTGCACTCTCCTGAAGGCAGGAGGGTTGTGTGCCCAGAATTTTTCCTTTTTGCATCCCACACTATGGCCATGGGTCTGACCAGATATGTTACCTCCCCAAAATATTACCCGTGTTATTTAAAACAGACATCACAATCTCAGTGTCTGCCGTCAGCCTGTTAACAGTTCCCTGCAGAGACGCTGCTGTATGTTCAGCTCTCTGCCCACTCGGAGCCTAAATCACCCACAATAAACAATTTCTACTTGCAGTCCCATTCTCATTTCAAACCGTGTGCACTTTGCAATTGCTGTTTCCCAGCCGGGCGCAGGCTGTGGTGCGAATCAGCCTCAGAAATCAATATTGTTGTCATACATCTGTACGACACGAGCTAGATCTACCCACATTCCCATAGGCCTTCAGGGGCAAGATGAAAATTAAATGAAAATTTGCAAGGGGAAAAAATAATTAATTATCTGACAGCATTTTTTCTGACAAATAGTCATTTTCTGCGCTTGGAAGTTAGTTATCATCACCCACGCTGATGAGTACGTTGATAAAATGGACGCTTTCATCTTTAACATCTCGGAGCAAGAAGCAGTCTATCTCAAAAATAAATAATAATAAAAAAAGTCACCACTGACACATTAGATAAATCAGGATTTAGCTCAGCTGCTTAGCCACATCAGCCAACTGGAACAGCACAGAGGAACAAAAGGAAAACTTTACCTTCCCAAACACGCCGACTCGCATTTTATCAATGTAATGCTCCTTCAGCATTGTCCTAGAACATCAGAGAGGAGAAACAACGGGTTAAAATAGTTTTACCTCAGATATAGCAAGCATAGTGTGTTTTTTATCATCAGCTTGAATTTGAGGTGGCTGCAGAAAAATGATGTAGACAATCTAAATTCACGCCGCTACACGCTGCTTTCACATGAGTCTCTGTTAGATTTAATCTTGCAGCCTGTTGTGTTGGATTTGACCAAGCAATGGCAATAACCTGCACTGCCTCTGAAAGCCATAATAAAGCTGATGCTATTGCACTACTCTGATACTGTCTTTAGCATGACTATGGGCAGAACAATATGACTGGACTTGATATTAAGGGATTTGCACTTTTTTCTTTTTTTTTTTTTTTTTCTGTTTTACAAATTTTAAGGGTTTAAAACCGGATTTTTTTCCAACTACCAGGCCAGCGAAAAACTAATGTAGAAGCTGATATTCCAGCTTACTCGTTTGTATGACTGTACAAAGCTAAAAATAAATAGGCTTTGAACACGTGATACAGATAAGTGTGCCCTAATTTAGCTCTGTTTCAGGCTTGTTTTTCTCCCTCCTCACGGGCTGGCATGAGCTCTCTCTCACACGCCATCACTTGGTCACAGCTCTATGACTACATTGCCCTTCCCTCCCATCCCCTTGCTCTACCCCTATGCACCAGAACTAATGACAGACATGGGTTAATTATCATTAATGAATTAATTTCTTTAATATTAGTGTAATTCACCAGACAGCTTCCAACTGATCCTTCTCTTCCAAAACGCCCAGCCTCCTCTTAACCTCATGCAATAGCTTAGTGCCTTGGAAGCCACTCCCACGGCCGTCGAACTTCAGCACGATGGCGTTGTGGGAGCTGACCATGACGCTCTCCCACGTCACCTCAAATCTCTCTGTGACGATCTGGCTGCCAGGTGTCCCATCCCTGAAACAGAAAAAGGCATCAGGCAAAGGCAATGGCACCAAGCAGGGGACAAACGCCCTCCCTGGGAAGGGCAGTGGGGATCGGCAGCTCCCACGTGCATCGTCGGGCAGGGCAGCTTTCAAGAAGGGGACACCAGTCTCTGAAACAAAGAGTCTGGTTGTGTTGGATGGGTTTTGAGGTTGGGGTTGAAGCTGCAGGCTGGTTTCTGCCTCCCTCTTTGCACAGCAACTATTGCTGGGCTTTGAGCAAACCTAGCAAGCACATCACTAACAGGGCAGGATTCCTCCTGTGAGTAAACCAGGGCCGTGACACAGAGGTCAGTTGATTTTTCCCCATATATGCCTGCTCTAATCTATAGCTATTTTCAACAGGGATTTTTCTGGTGGAGCCGTTTCTGTGAGAAGCCTGGCTTTGGGGAGTGCTGGCACTGCCAAAATATATTGGAGGAAGCTTGCAGATGTCAACTCTCCTTTCTTTTACTGGCAAGCACTTGGGTTTCATTTACTGCTCCCATTCACCCAGCCCAGCCCTTCCCTCTCCCAGGGACCTCTCCAGAGTGGCTGTAGATGGAGCTGTCAGTCATTTCTGTCACCAGTGCTTAACACAAGAACATTTTTAAAGCGACAAATCCAACAGCTTAAAAATGCCCAGGTTAGCCCAAACTTGGAGGGTAAAGGAAAGAGAGGGCAAGACTCCCTCTTCACCCTTTCTTCTTAGGGTCTGATCCTGCACAGGGAAACTGTCTCAAGAAATATTGACCCCACTTCCCCCAGGCAGCTCAGAAGAATCATGAGATGATGGTGATGATAAATAATATTTTAGGACTGGGATTACTGTAGAGCCACTGGCACTTTCATCTACTTCTTGTCTTTTTTGGGGTTCTCGGAGACATCAGGCAACTCATTGCAAGATTTTAATGTGTGTGTGACTTCAGGCATTTGCATTTATTCAGGCGAGACCCAGGAACAACCAGCTTCAGAGGCAGCCTAATCAAGTGCTGTTAGCTTGATGAGCACCAATCTTCCTCAAGCACTTGTATAATGAAGTACATTTTCTCTGCAGTAATTTTGTGATATAACGGCATGCTTATTGCAGTGTTTTTGTCCTTCATGGAGGGATGTGCAGGATGGAATTCAGGCATTCATCAGGCATTCATCAACCCCACATGAGGCTTCTCTCTTGTGGGGTGTTCCCTGGCAGGGAGTAAGCAATGCAGGGGGATGCAGCCAGGGCCAAGCAGGTTCTTTCAAGGTCAGTGAATGCCCTCCTCCAGTTTCCTTACAAATTGCCAGAAAAAAATCAGCAATGTATATTATTATCACTAAATGTTGCGTAAAGACATACCCATCTGCTGTGCCTGCCAGGAGGAAATCCTACCTACCTAATATAAATGCAAACGTCGTGGAGATCTTTAAAGGTTTCACTTTAAACTGTCACTTCAGGGAACACCAGCATTTTCATGGGAAGGACTGCTGCATGAGGGCATCTAAAATTTAAGCTGTAATAAGGCTGACTGCATCCCATTCTAAAATTATCTGTTAAGCACAGGGTGAGTGCCCTAAGCACTGGGGCAGAAAGTCAATGTCCATGTTTAATTCCTTCCCCTTCTGTTTCTGCCCCCAAAATTATTGAATTGCAAGTGTACGTGGAAGAACTTTACAAAATCCTACAATTTACTCTACAGGATTTCACTAGGGAAATGGGAGCTGAAACCCTTGGCTCAAACATGGGAGAAAGGGACCTATGTCTAAACTCTCCCAACTCCAACAAGGGAGAGGCAGGGGATAGGGATGAACGTGCTGGACTTATGTCCCTAAGCAGCCTGTTATTCATTGTACAAAACATACATTAAAAGGCTGTTATCATGGCTGGTTTCCATGCTGCCCTACAAACGTGATCAGAAAGAAAGGACAAATGAGAACTTACACAATCAGAAGCAAGGGGTAGTGCGCGGTGTCTGAAAACGTTGCTGGCTTTAAGATCTGCATCGGCAATTCTAGGCAAAAAAAGGCAAATAACAACATGTCTTCAGTGTGGGAACGCTGACATAACTCTAATAGATTTTTCTGGTGTTTTGGTCACTTATGACCAGGAACAAAATGACATTTCATCAGAGGCACTGGTAAATAACACCTTAGGAACACAGATGTTGTCAAAGAAAAGACCCATATTATGATAGCCGAGGTGACAAGAAATGTAAATTGGGAGTGCAGGGCGAGCTGTTCAGTCATGCATCACTTTTACAGCATTCAATTAACATCTGGCAATAGCTATAATTTTCCTTCTTGGCAGCTGGATGAGTGACGCAGGCAGAAATCAATATTTCAGGGCAGCACAGGAGGGGGAAATCGACGATGAAAATGATAATTTAAAACCCAATTAAGTATGGTGTCTGAGAGAGAGAATAGAATTCTTTTGCTATAATAGTGTGAAGACAGACACAGAAACATGTATTTTAATCCTAACTTGTAGAGGGCTTAATTTTGCTGTAAAATAGGAGGCAACTGTGCTGAAACCCATGTTGTTATACTGGTACTGAACCAACGAAAGTGACGTGCACAACAAAGCTTCGTTCAACTGCTTCACATGTCCTGGTACTGCTAGCCAAAAGAGCTGCCATACAAATGCTTTCCAGGTTAAGGAGAGCACCTTTATTTTTAAAATGTTAACTACAATCCAGATTAGCAAAGGCCCAGCAATTAAATCAGGATTAGGAGCATTTCCAGTAGATTAATACACAGATTAACTATGCGGTTTAAGTGGTTTGCTTTGCAATCATTGTCTGACACTCAGCCTAATTAGTTATTCCATCTGAATGCTAATAGCTGCAAATTGGATCAATGGCCCAGGGACAGCCAAAAAGGCCATCGCTTGACTTTAAATATAACTAAGCACTACGTGTAGTGTTCCCAAGGCTGTTAAGCCCAAAGCCTTGAAAATACGGGGAGGGCACAGAACAGCCATGCTTGTGTTCATTACACACAAACACATATGTTTTTGGTTAAATGAGCAGAATCACATTTCAATGATACCTGCAGTTAAGAAATTTGGCATCAAGCTGAGTAATTCCTAATAAGCTGCCCGTGCCACTATGAATTGGCTCACAGGGACAGATACAGTCTTTATGATAGGCTTTTCCCCCATCTTTTCCTGCCTATCAGGCCTGGAAATGCACATTTACTCTTGTTACGTTATGAACTGGTTTATGTTCCTAATGCCCATACAGCAAGTAGAACGTTTTAGGGACATTATGACCCTTTTCAAATGGCAACTGTCTCTCAGCCTTTGCTTCACATTTTATAACAGCTGGCAATGGTTGAAATGAGTAACCAGCCATCCATCACACCTCACTGCTTCCATCTGACCGCATCCGATCTGAGAGGTACGCTCCTTCCTGGCACAGGAAATATTGTGGGTCATACATTCAACGTGGGTTCCTTCTTTTTTCTTTTTTTAAGTTGCCACCAAACACACAAGCTGGGATTTTTTGGGAGCCATTGGACAGCTCAAGTATGTTCCACACACAGGTAAGATATCTGCTTACAGCCAGAGGAGACGCATTTTAGGTTGTTTCAGGTACAAAGAGAGGCATAAAATCCTTGCACTTTGGCTGTTTGCCATTGGGCTTTTCTCTCTCTCTGTCCTCTGGCATACAGATATGTGGGTAATGATTACACAAGGCACACATAATGCACCAGCTGTGGATATAAACCACTCCAAGTTTCTGCCTTCTTTACTCCAGGTGAAATCTCTTTCAGCTTTTCTCATAAAGCTGTTTCTTTTTCCAACCCTATAAATGATGAGGCTTTCTCAAAGAATCCTGAATGACTCTGATGGGCAGTCGTTGGTGAGTTGTCTTCATTCACTGCAGTTCCGTATTGTGTACTGAAAGGCGACCACAGCTCTAGCCCGCAAGCACGTACAGTCTCCCACTTGAAACCCATTTCAAATAATACACCAGTCCATGCAGGGCAAATGCCCTGAACAATGGGGGCACCACACCGTGTCATTTCCCGGAGTGGCTTTTTCTTTACAAAGAAAATTTTAAAAGGAAAAGAAACCAAACCCCAAGCCTATCATTTTGCCTTTCTTCAGCTGCATTCTCATCAAATCCTGTCTCTCTAATAACCTCCTTGTGTAGCACATCCTAAGAGAGTGCTTTGCAAACTGCGTGAGTTTATTGAGAGCCAAAGTCATTTTTCCTCCTGCCAGTCTAGCCAAAATGACTGTATCATTTCACAGCAATAGCAGTGAAAAAGAAACATAAGAGGAAAGGTGCTACTTACTGTAATCGTCTATCTTGATTTCCATGTATTCTACCCTTGGCATTTGTCTGTCATTTACAGCCAGCTGCACATTTTCATTTACCTCCAGCTCAAAAATTTCTAAAAGAAGAAAGACAAGACCACAAAAACTTTTTGCATTGTTTGCGAAAAAGCATTTTAACATTTTATAGCCACCTTAATGTTTGTAAATGCGAGTTTCCTTATGAAAAAAATTCCTTCTGGTCCTCACAGACATCTAATTCAGTTAAATCTTTGCCACCCCTTCCGGGTTCTGTGTTGGCAAGAAGCTGTATTCCTGAAAAGAGCTGATTTACAGCAAATGGGATGGTGACCTTCTGTGTTGAGGCAGTACTATGGGTCCCCATCAGACCTCCACCTGCCATGCAAAGCCAGATATAGCCTGTGCTTGTCACACATAATAAATGGGGAAAGGGAGGAAACTATGGAGTGCTTCAGGACAAGGTTGTGCTGCGACACAAGAGAAAATCCAGGAGAAGGAAAGCTATGGGGAGGGAGGAGTGGACAAAGATCATACAAACCTGCAACATCAGGTTTCAGCCTGTCTCCAGAAATGGTCATTTTGCTTGTGTGACTTAACCAAGGACTCTCTAGGACTGAAACAGAGGATTCTTTCCTCTTTCCCAGGATTTAGCTTTCATGACCCACATCCTGGCCATGTGCTCTAACCACTGTGCCTCTTCTAGCAAAGGTGGCTGCCTCCAGTATCAGAAAGAGCAAGTCTGTCCCAGCTGGTAAGGGCAGGGCCCATCCTTAGGAGAGGTTTCAGGTTGTATGTCCTGGGTGCTGGGAAGGGTCTCCTGGTGATGGTGAGGCTCCTGAGCCCCATGGGGAAGGGATTCAAGGACCAGGGGCATCCCACTGTAGTGGCAGTGAGTCCTGGTCTGGGGAGCCTGCTGCAGTGCTCATCCCTGTGGCATCAGGCTGCGTTTGAGCCAGAGGGATCCAGGGCATTACCTCTGCCGTGTGAACCCAAGGAGGGTTTGAGGTTTCACACCAAATTATGTTTAATTGACTGTAACTTCCCTTTTGAGACACACTGATAAATACATGTGTAGCCTCAGCTCCTCAAATAATACTTATGGTACCTGATTATCATGGTCTCATTGCCCATCTGCTGAGTAGGCAGGCAGAGCACAAAAACATGCCCTTCCCAGTTAATACATTTCACAGATCTTTTAGCAATAGTACATTGGTTCAATGACTATTCACCCTGCGTCTGAAAAGCCTGGCTCATCTCTATTGAAACCACAACCCCCACAAAAGTGCCAAAGCAACAGCCTATTACATTTTGTTAAATATTAAGATTCTCATTTAATTATGGCACATAGAAGTAGCTTTATCAGCAGAAAGGGGCTTGCCACGTAGGGGAATTTAGTCAAGCTGTTTTATTTGTTCATATAATTGCATTCACAGAAAGCCAAGACGACTGTGGAGGAAATAAAAAAGATTGGCATATCTCCTAAAGGACTTTCTTTTCTGCTGTAGGACCACAGGGAGCTTGAGTCTGTGGAGTACAAATGGTCATTGCTTAATTAAATGTAAGCACACTATAATATTCAGTGCAACTCACTATTATCAGATTATTGCAGAATACAGAGGTAAACTCCCTTTATACAGTAATCGGCTCATATTAAATAAGTAAATTCAGTAACATGCAACTGTCAGTTGTCCCTTATTCAAAAGCAAAAGAATTAGGAGAAAATAAAAAAAAAGGAACCAAGGGAAATGATAATCATATGCAGAAAATCATGAATTTCAGTAGGGAATGTGTTCTGTTCATGACTATGTTGAGTTCTCTATGTAATAAATGCTACACATGTATATCTGTCAAAATAAAACTAGTCTTGGTGTGTTTTATGGTATTTTTTCAAGCCCTTCATTCGCTGTTTTTGTTTTATAGCATCTCTCATTTTATTCACCTAAAAGTATATTATAAAACTATACAGGAGGCTACAACACAAATCACGTGAGCATTATCCTGTACAGCCAGTCAGCCATCTCCATGTCTATGGCAAAATTAAGGAATGGTGTTTAAGGGGGAAAAAATGAAAGCTGCTTTGGAGCTGTGGGTCAGAGCTAAGAAATTTTCCTGTCCCTGTGGCAACCTCCTCTGCGGGCTGAAGAGCATTACCAGGGCTGCTCGGGAGTCATGCTCAGGAAGGGCACTGCCAAGGCCAGGTCTCTGCTGGGAAGAGGAGCTGATACACCCTTGTGCACAGACCGAGTGTGGAGTGGTTGCTGGTGCAGACGGATGGGAAAGCTAGGAGCTTGCAGTTGCTTTCAGCATTACTTTAAAAAGCGATTCTTGTATTTTTCTACGTCAGAATAACTACAAATGCCAACTTTTGCTTCTTTATACCAGAAGTAGTTTCACAAAAGACCAAACTGGCAGAGGGAGCTATAACCCTATCCCACTACTGCCAGCAGCAATAACATAAACATGAACAAAAAGTGAGAGCCCTCCTCTGGGCAGCAAATTCAGTCAGTTCTCAGGGCACTTATACCCAGAAATTGTAGACCAGTGGGTAAAATGAGGCACAAGGAAATCAAACATTTCTCTCACAATCATTCTGTAAGCAAGATGATGGCAGGCAGTCTAAGCCATAGTCCTAGGCATGCTGTGCTACTTTGACTTGGCAGCAAAGATCTTTCTTGCTGCCCTTCCAGGATAGTCATACAGCAGTACATTGCTTTAACTTAACTTGTTCCATGCTGCTAAATTTTATGCATGACTTTTTCTGCAAAGGAACATTTTAATTGGAACAAATTAACTGAAAAGGATGGGAGGATAAATTGGATTTAAATGTACGCTGTATCTCCTTAACAGTATTGGACACTTTACACTAGATGGAACACTGCTGAGTATTTCTATTTGAAAGGTAAAGTATACAATGTGCCACAAATCTGATTTTAAATTTGATGAAAAAAAAAATCAATCAGAATTTGGAATTGCACATGTTCTGCTTAGAAGGAAAAACTTTCTAGATGGGTAAGGGCTTGAAATGCATGTTGCCAACAAAAATTGAGAGAACAGAGAATAAAGTCACACACAGAAACTCCATAAAGCAAGATGGATCCTGTGCTTTTTTCTTACATGTCCTGGTGCACACAGTTGGGTTTTTTTTCTCTCATACTTAACACCTGTCATGGTTGTTGAGGGAAAAAAATATTTTGAATAATTCCAGCTTCACACAAGTGTAGATGTGAATCACTGTCATTACAAAAGCCGTACCGATCATTTATGTGCTACAATCCCTGTGAACAACAGGAAACCAGGCAGAGGTACAACTTGCAGGGCCTATTCCTCAGTGTTCTCTCTTTCAACCTGGTAATCCATGTCAGAGTGAATTTTTTATATCATAGATGAAGCTAAATATTTCTTATCTCTGAGTAGGATATAAATCAGTATTTGAGAAAGACTAATAAAAATAGAGAGAGAGAGATCTGGACTGTGCTTTTTTTTTTGAGAAAGTTGGAAACAAATGTCATGCCCATACCACTGTCTTTGTGCCCCGACTCGTGTCTAGGCAGACCCTGGGTTCCCCACTAGAGTAAGTTTACTAAAAAGCAGCTACATCTCAGTGTCCTCCCCGGCTACTTTCCTCTGAAGAACTGCAAGGCTCAAGCCCGTTCTTACTCTGTGCGTCGGTTGTGTTGTGAACAGTCACCATCGGGACTCGAGGACCTTGAACAGAAGAAGAAAAGAATGCGGTTAAATATCTATCGAAGCACACACAGACACACGTGAACCTGGTTTTGAATTCCACAGAGCCGAAGACTCCCGAGACTCGCTTTCCATGCAAGAGTAATCTAAAAAGCAAATCATCCTGGTATTAGAAAGAGTCTGTGAATAAATGACAGTACTGCAGACTCGAAGACGTATGAGGTTTCAAAGCCCTTTCCCAATGGACCACTAAATTTTTTTGTAAACATTATAATTACCACAAACACAATTAAATCACTTGCTTTTAGAATTATTCTAATGACACACAAACAGCACAGCACAAAGCATTTACATTTATATGCTATGGGTAACAGTTGCTGTTTTGCAAATTTTTTGGTTTTTTATTGTGGTTTTTTTTTTTTTTTTAATGAATTAAACACCAGTTTGGCTCTTAGAATAAAAAAGACAGCATATGATGTCTTAAAATGCAGCATGTGGGTATTGAAATCGGCCAGTAGTATACAAAGAGCATTTTCATTACTACGCAACTGTCGTGGTTTAACCCCGGCT